TTTCAACTGCTACATATTGAAAGGTCTTTAAGGAAGAGCTTTCATGTCACTAGAGTGCTAAGCAATGGTATTAATGATTTCTGAAGTGTGTGACTAAATAAGGACCCTTATTCCTCAAGGGTGCAATAGGCATCTGTAAAACTGAGCAAATGCTTAGCAGGAAATGTCTGTGCAATTAATGAAGGTGGAATTAAGCCACAAATTATCTGTATGATTGAGCTTGTGTCATTTGTGCCCAACACAAGAGATGATTCAAATACTTAACTCTGGTCAGAAGGTGTTTCGATGCTGCTCTCCAGAAGTGAAGAGAGGCTAAGAATTCAGTTTTGAAAGGACAATCTTTGCTTGTAAAAGAAGAAAACTCTCAAAACACCACTTTGTGCAGAGGGAAAGCATTAAAAAGAAGTTTTGTGAAATTTCACTGGGGGTTGTAAATAGGAGTGTGGTGGTTGTGCTCGTTCTGCTTTATAGGTTGGGGGGTTGGTGGTGGATAGTGTTAGTCCAGTTTAGGTGGCATCCAGGATAAATATGACACTTTTTAACATTTTTAACAACTTTTTCTCTTACACCTTGTGACAGATGGTAAATTCAGGGCACTGAAGATGGAGTTCTCCCTTCCCCCATCCACTTACGCCACCATGGCGATTCGAGAAGTTCTGAAAATGGACACCAGCATCAAGAACCAGACACAGCTGAATACGACCTGGTTGCGCTGAACGAGCTGCAAGACTGCTTGATTTTAACATTATATATATATACATATATATATACAAAGTGTTTTCTTATTTACATGTTCTGTACAAATCTTTAAAAACGGACGGTAAGAGATTTGTATTTTTTTAATTCTTTTTAGTGCTAGCATTTAACTTCAGTAGTGATTTGCAAGGTGGTGGCTGTAAAATAATGTAGATCTTAGTGAGTGGTGCTTTTTACTGAATGAGCTTTTTACTGAATGAGCAAGTTGCTTGAGCTGTAACGTGGGTACATCTTTAGAAATGGGTTTGTCATGGCATCAGACCTGGAAGAATGTTTAGCTTGCTTTCTTTGGCAAGTACTGAATGTTTTGGGTGAGTCCAGCACACCTTGAAGCCTCTTCAAATACATGAACTTACAGCTGAGGAAGATGAGTTACAAGAGAATGTAGATGTTGATGAACATACCACAGGATTCTTTGCTGGTAGCATTTGCACTGATGCAGCAGGGGATTGTTAGCCAAGGCTTTTCTTGTGCTGTAAAGGTGTATGACTGTTTTAAATTGTCTTTTCATGGAGAAAATACTTGTGTGTATTTTCCAGCTAATACCTGTACCAAAGAACAGGTATTGAAAATAAATGAACCTCAAAGTGTCTGACCCTGGATCAGTAACTGGTTCCTTTGTGCCTCTCCCCTGCATGTTGCTGGTGGAGAATGAGACAGGATTTGGGTTTGGAAAACGAACTACTGTGAAGGTGTTTTAAAAAGATACTGGTTTAGAAACTGAAAATGCAAATCATAGAATTTTTAGGTGTTGGAGTGGACCTTAAAGATCATTTAGTCCCAACCCCCTGCCCTGGGCAGGGACACCTCCCACCAGAGCAGGTTGCTCAAGGTTTCATCCAACCTGGCTGTGAACACTGCCAGGGTTGGGGCATCTACTACCTCCTTGGGCAACCTGTGCCAGTGTCTCACCACCCTCACAGGAAAAAACATTTTCCTAATATCTAACCTAAATTTCCTCTCTTTCAGTTTGTGCTCATTATCCCTTGTCCTGTCACTGCAGCTCCTAGGCAAGAGACCCTCCCCAGCTTCCCTGGAGCCCCTTCAGACACTGGAAGGTTGCTCTGAGGTCTCCACACAACCTTCTCTTCCCCAGGCTGAACAGCCCCAACTTCCTCAGCCTGTCCTCACAGGGGAGATGGTCCAGTGCTCTTAGCAACTTTGTGGCCTCCTCTGCACTCCAAGTCCTTCTTACACTGAGGGCACCAGAATTGTGGTGGGTCTCATGAGAGCAGAGTACAGGGGAAAACCATGTCCTCTAACCTGCTGCTCCCATTCCTCTGGATGCAGCTCAGGATTGGATTTGCTTCCTGTGCTGTGAGCTCACACTGCAGCTCAGGGTGAGTTTCTCACCCACCATCACCCCCAAGTCTTTCTCCTCATTCCTGCCCTCAGTTCCTTCCCCACCCAACCTGTAGCTGTGCCTGGGATTGCCATGGCCCAGACGTGTGTGACCTTGCGTGTCATTTTTGTTGAATTCCATGAGGTTTGCATGAGGTTTCCCACCTCTCAATCCAGGTCCAATAAAAAGCTGATGTTGATAAAACCATGCCAATGTACGACAGCCCCCAGGGCTGGAGAGCCCCTGGTGCCCGTGCCGTGTGCGAGGAGCAGCAGGGGCCGCGGCGTTCCCACGGGAATGCTGTTCCCTCTTCCCTTCCCCGGCTGTTCCATCCCGGACTGCCCTGCCGCGGTGTTCGCTGCCCGGGGCTGTTCCCTGGGGCTGTTCTGCTCTCCTGGCTCTCCTGCTCCTCCCCTGGGGCTGTTCCCTGCACTGTTTGTTCCCCGGGACTCCTCCCCGCGCTGTTGGTTCCCTGTTCTGTTCCCTGTTCTGTTCCTGGTGCTGTTGTGTTTCTCGGTGCCGTTCCCTATTCTGCTCCCGGGGCTGCTCCCCCGGGACTGTCT